GCACGTGGCCCCGGAGCCAACGTTCCCCGCGTCTGCTCGTGTTCCCGCCGGACGCCTCGCACTGGCCGCGCGCTCCCCGCCCGCCTTAGCCAGTGCCCGGCACGTACCTGCACCGGGCCCGTCAGACCGCCGGGGCCTAGCGGGGCCGCCTGGCCCCTCCCTGCTCAGGCGCCTTGGGACCGAGCTCGCCTCAAAGTGAGCCCGTTCCTCCTGGGTGTCAGGAAAACCCGTTTCCGCAGGGGGGGGCGAAGCGCTGGGCTCCCTGGGGAGGGTGGAATCTCGTCCCGGCTGGACCAAGCCCTGGCGGAGTTGGGTTTGGTCCTGCCTGGGCAGGGGGCTGGACTCCCTGGCTCCTGAGGGCTCCTCCAGCCCGGGGATTCTACATCGAAATCTCCCTGGGTGCCGCCAAGTGCATTACTTCCTGTTTAGGAACAGGGGGATTGCCATAATGGGTCAGATCAGTGATCCACCTACTCCTGTATCTGGTCCATACATCGCCAGTACCTGATCCTTCAAGAAACCCTATGCAAGTCAGTTATGAAATCACTTCTCCATGTAGGGAAGTGTCTTCCTTATTCCAACGTGTGGCATAAATCAGCTAACTAAAACATTCATAGTACTATTTCTTCTGAATATACATCTACTTTAATGATAGGTGTTCTAATTACCTATGGAAGTGTCTTATCCTTCTCAAATCTTAAGGCCTAATCCTCAGATACTACTATAAATCATTATGATTCCAACTGAGCTATGACAATTTATACAAATTGACAATCTGGCCCATAGCATCTATATCTTGAGGCTATGAGTCTTGCTGGATTGCGTAAAAAGCATTTCCATTTACATGCTAATTAGAAGGATTGTGATTTAACATGGGATCTTGTGAAAGGTATTTTTGTTCATTGTCCTGAGTAATCCATAGAATTTAGAGCCAGAGAGTGGAATGATTTAATACACTTAACATAATATATGGAAATATACCCATATCATAGAACTAGAAGGGACCTTGAGAGGTCCTTGAGTCCAGTCCCCTGCCCTCATGGCAGGACCAAGTACCATCCCTGACAGATTTGCCCCAGATCCCTAAATGGTCCCCTCAAGAATTGAGCTCATGATGCTGGGCTTAACAAACTAGTGCTCAAACCACTGAGCTATCAGTCCCCTTTTAAATAAAAGGAATTTAAATCACTGATTTCAATCACGATTTAAATCAATAAGCAGCTTTAAATGATCAATGTTAATCATGCTTTTCATTTGTTATTGAAAGATTGAGTCTCAGTTAGCAACCTTTAAAACAAGTTATTTTAGCCTTTACACCAAATTTAGTGCTTCTTTTTGCTAACCAAAAGGATACATCTATATTCATTTACTAAAACAATTGAATAACTTCTTATTTTAACTCAGATTATTTTAAATTCATTTATTCAGATTTCTATTTTGCTATGTTAGAAAATGATGATTTACGAGACGATGATTGTTTACTTGTGATATTTATCATGCTCTGTTTGGATGGAAATTAAAATACATAAACAGGCATTTTAATTTTTTATAAAACAAATCTGTATTAAAAGTGCTGAAAACAAAAAAGTATCAAAATATTTAGTATTTGAAACTGATTAATTTATTGAACAAAGCAAATGTTATCTGTCATTAATTAATTGAATTGATTGTTACTAGTTACCCTAACCTTCAAGATTTTAGAACTAGTAGATCTTGTCCTTTCATACCTAGTTTTTATTCATAGATTGGAAAAGGAAAACTAGTTTTACTGCTTTGTCTACTTCCAATTTGTTTCTTAACTTCCAGCAAAGTAATCATTGGACTGAGCTAATTGAACAAACTGAAATTAAAAATAGATTTTCTCTGCGCCAACAGAAGAAGCTTGCATACGCTGGTTTATCACTTGAACAAACTCCAGTTACAAGTGCTTAGTCCTTGACATATACCACTTACGTGGTTTGACTTTCTTTACAAATTGGCAGCAAATGTGCTGCTTAAATATGTTTAATTAAAAGTGATTTTAACAGATGATACTATATTTGGGCCTTAACATAGGTTATCAGAATTTAATTTGGTTTATTAATAACCTTATTTAATTTGAATTAAAAAACTGATTTACTTTTTTAAACAATCATTTGTATCCACTCTGCAAATGATCATAATGGTCATGTAGTCTGATCTCCCACATTAACACAGGAGTAATTTCTGCATCGAGCCTCTTTGAGCTATAGCATGTCTTTTAAGAATGATGTCCAGTTTTGATTTAAACACTGCAAGTAATAGAGAATCCACTGTCCAGTGTTCCCTGTAAGCTGAGCACTTGGCAGCTGCCCAGGAGAGATTCAGATGCTGCCCAGCTGATTAGCAGAGTACCCATAGCCTCCCTGATTTGGCAGCATATGTTTCTACTGGTGGTGCACATCTGCACATGGCTTGATGCACATCACAAAATTTATTCTGCACATGGATGGAAAAATTAGAGGGAACATTGACTATGTCCCTTAACAAGTTGTTCCAATGATTAATTATCCTGGCTACTAAAATTTAGAACTTGATGTCTAAAAGTTGGCTTAGCTTCAGCATCTAACCACTGGATTTCGTTATGCCTTTTTCTGCTAAATAAGAGTGGCCTACTAACAGAAATCTCTTCCCCATGTAGATTGTGATGAAGTCACTTCTGAACCTTTTCTTTTGCTAAACTGGATAGATTGATCTTATTTTGTTTGTTGCTATAAGACAGGTTTCTCAGACCTATGAGCATTCATGGAGCTCCTTTCTGACTTTTCCAACATCCTTTCTGAAGTGCTGACACAAGAACTGGACACAGTATTCCGGTAACAGCCTCACTAATGCTATACAGTAGGGATGTTAAATAGGTAACCATGTAACTGCTGAAAATCTCAGCAGTTGCACAGTTCCACGCTGCGGGCTCTGCAGTATAAAGTGCAGCAAAGTCTCTCCAGATGTGGGGACTGCTAACCGCTGCTGGCTCCACTCCCGGGGATGCTTCCCTGCTGCAGTTAAGCCGTCTCCCCAGGAGCCACTGAAGGTAACTGACACCATTCACTGATAAGCATCAGCTTATTGATTAAATGGTTAGTCAGTTACACTCTAAAGCTACGTCTACACTTGTGGCTTCTTGTGCGAGTAATATGCAAATGAGGCTAAGTGTGGAATATCGCCGAGCCTCATTTGCATACCTAATGAGCCACCATTTTTTTCAGAAGAGGCTCTTGCGCAAGAAGGAGTGTCTACATTGCCCCTTGCGCAAGAAAAACCCTCTTGCGCAATGCCATTACACCTATTACTTTTCAGGAAGAACGGCATTGTGCAAGAGGGTTTTTTGAAAAGTAATAGGTGTAATGGCATTGCGCAAGAGGGTTTTTCTTGCGCAAGGGGCAATGTAGACACTCCTTCTTGCGCAAGAGCCTCTTCTGAAAAAAATGGTGGCTCATTAGGTATGCAAATGAGGCTCGGCGATATTCCACGCTTAGCCTCATTTGCATATTACTCACACAAGAAGCAGCGAGTGTAGACATAGCCTAACATCTCTAATAGACAGCAGTAGTACCACTTCCTTACTACTATCTTACAGTCCCCTGATTTTACAGTCAAGGATTGTGTTCACCCTCTTAGCTACCACACTGGAAGCTGATGTTCAGTTAGTTATCTATAGAGCGCTATGTGGATACAACATTTGTATTAGCATCTACATCCGTACAAATGATCCATGGATAGCTGCAACCACGTCCCCAGATGTGGATGCCAAAACATATAAAGTGGATATCTGCAAATCTGCAGGCTTCTTGATACAAAATTTTTATCCCTATCTGCATCTGTATCTGCAGAAAGGAGCAGGACTATTCATCAACGAGAGCCCTGCAAATCTGTGATCTACAGTTGGTTAGCTACTGTGACCGCTAAATCCTTTTCAGAGTCTCTGCTTTCCAGGATGCAGTCTCCCGTCTTGTAAGTGTGACCTGCATTGTTTTTTGCGTTTGTGTGTGTTAGTGCATATTGTTAAAATTCATGTGGCTCACCTTACCAAGCAAGACTGCTTGGTCTGTATAGTTGACTTCTCCCCATCATTGTTTACTATTTTACCAATTTTTGTCTCGTCTGCAAACTTTACCATCAATGATTTTATATATTCTTCTCGTTTGATTTTATTAGAGGAAAGCATTTAATGTGCTTTAAATGGTCTTTTGTTGTGTTTTAAGAATAAGGAGAAGCCAGCACCATGTGACCAGACAGCTCATCACAGACCACCAGGAAGTTGTCTGTGGGCTATTGGTGGTCCACAGACCACAATTTCAGACATTTGAAAATGTGGTTTTGAAATACACTACATCTTCCAAACTACATCTTCCACAGTGTCGTAAAAATAAACTTTTGCTTTGTCTGCTTCTCCAACAGTAATGGCAGTGGTGAGGTTCAGATAATCTCTTGGGTGCTTGATATTTTGTTCTGCTCTCAGCTTGTGATTCTAGATCTCAATGTGTGGGGAAAACATCAGCTGACTCTCCAATAGGAACTATACAATCCAGTTCTAAGATGGGCATTTTTTCAAATCATTCAGGGTTTCTTAAAAGCAGTATCAAAGACGTGTCAAACACAGATGCAGCTAATGTTGAGAACTGGACTATACAGAAATGGTAATATTTTAGATAGGTTAATGGAATGGCAACAATTAAAGAAAATAAGGGAATTGTCCTCCTATTCATTTCACTTGAAAACATTGAATGTAGAGGCAGAGAGATCCGGAAACTCCTGAGGTTGGCAGACATTTCAAGAAACTGTGGTATAATCTAGAGGATTGTTTCTGAAAGTGTTCCACGGAATCACTCTCAGAAACACATTAACTGACTGCCCCGCGGCTCCCCTTGGCTACAAAGGATGAAACGGAGCCAATGGGAGCTGTGAGGCTCTGTGGCCGTGGCACCGGTAAATAAACAAACTGGGGTGGCCAGTTAATGTGTTTCTGAGGGTGATTCCACAGAATACTTTCAGAAACACTGGTCTAGAGGATTTTGGAGGAGATGGGTGTGGCAAGGGGAGTGGATTCCCAATGTTGTAGATTTTAGAGTCAGTTAAGGGGAAAGAGAGCCTCAGATCTGACAAGGCAGA